TAAACAGAGTATGTGATTCTTTAGGAAAAGCAGTGATCATTGATTTTCTTTGCAGTTATTTGGCTAAGTTAAATTAACTCAATGAAAAAAATATGAAATGGGTTGAGTATTTTGAAGAAGCATTCATTATTGCTTAAGTTTTGATAAAACAGTTGCTTTTAGAACTTCTTAGTCTTAAGATGTTGATAAAAAGGGATTTAAAAGCAAGATTCTCTAATGTTCTAGAAATTCTTGGACCTTGTGCCCTCAAGGTTTTCCTTTTAAAAATAATTCTTTAAAACTCTTGGTGTGTAAAAAAAAACATTGCTTTGGGGTATTGCAAAAGTGAGCCATTCCATGCTGCAAGAACCTTTCTTGCACCAGCCCATCATCTTCTCTACCCAATAATTCATAGATTTCTTCACAGTTACATACTTCTATATCTATCACCTAAAGACTAGCTGAGGTGTGCTGTTTCAGCCGTAATTAATACTAGATGACCTTGTTTTCTTTCAAACAATTATCAAAACTGAACCTGAGGAAACTCTTTTTTTTAAAGGAAAGTAGGTGGGGAGCTCCTGGTTTAATTCTAAATCTTGTGTATATTCTGAACACATGCTAGACCAACCATAGCAGAAAGTCAGTTCCCCATCACTACATAAGGAAAAGGTGAATTAGTTATATCCCATTTATCAGTTTGTTTCGCCCATAATGTAATGCTAGTTTTATCTGCTGAAATTTTACAGCCATTGATCATGTCCATGTAGTGTGTCTTTAAGAGAGAGATCACCTGGTATCTCTGAATGACCTTTAGGACCTTCTCCACACTATATCATCAACCAGAGACTCACCTTGAACTTCTCTGACCCTCCTCCACTCTATGTCATCAAACAGGGACTCACCTTGAACTGACGTGACCCTGTCTAAATTTAGAAGATTATCCATAGCTTTCGAAAGCAGAGACTTCTCCCAGGAAACACTACCCCTCACCTCCTGCCCCCAGTATGATGACTGAATCAATTGGGAAAATTACGGAGACTGGAAAGGAGAAGTAGCTCTCCACCTACTATGAGAAAACCAGTGCATTCACAAAGGTGTGAAGTCACTCTCAGGGTGAGGGATGTTGCCTGGGAAGCTGTGCCTGCTGCCAAAGACCTTCCTTTATGTTAATGTGAGAGAGGAGTAAATTTTTTTTTTACAAGGAAGGTTATTTGGAATGAAAAACCAGTACTTATATTTTGGTAGAGTGATGAATAACTTCAGTCTTGCTGTGAGTTTTTTTTTTTTTTTCTTTCAGTGTTAGAATTGGTTTTCAATTCACACTCTGGTTGGTGGAGACAGTTTTCTTGTGAGAGAACCAAGAACCATACTTACGAACTGTTGGATTGTGCCCAGGGTTTTTTGAATCATTTTATTATTTTGGCAGCTGATTTACTTGAATCCAACTTGGGGGAGAAAGAGAAAACAATAACTGAAAAATGACTGAATTCAATTTAATTGAAATGGTTTTCTTTTTTTTTTTTGACATTTTTCTTTTTTACATTCATGGAGAGCTCATTATTTAATTAGAACTTAAAAATAAAGCAATTTAATAATATTATTATTTCATAATAGATATGAAATAATTATCTTATAATAAAATGCAAGAAAAGTTTACATGTGAGCTGGCTTCCCTCCATGTTGACCCTTTGAATTTTATGTCATGATTTTCTCTGCCAGCAGAAGAGAATGAAAGTACAATGTAATTTTAGGGTTCTTTTCCTGGCAATCTAATTCTTGTGGTCTAATTCTTATCCATGGGGAGGTAACAAGAGGTAAGGGTTTGGAGTGGGAAACATGAGTACCTGAGGCACTGATATGCTAGGCATGACTGGCATTTGTTTATATCAAAGGTGTTAAAATGAATTTCCCCAACCCATGCTGGCTTTTTAGAATAATTCCTTTTGCGCCCAACCAGGCCAGAAGTGGGTCAGTTAAGAACAGATTGCCCAAGTTGTTTGCTCATAATTCTATATGAGGAGAGAAAAAAAAAAAATCCAGGTGGGAGGTGGTAAGTTTCTCTCTGCCAAAAATCTATATCCATATGTAAGAAAGAGGCACTGTATATGAAAAGAGGACCTGTTATATTCCACTCAGAATTGATTTCCTGAGGAGGGATTTCTTCCTAACATTGAACTGAAAGAAAGGAAATATGTTTTGGAACCTGAAGTCATATTTATTTATTTATTTTTATAATCTTTCTCCCTGTAAGTAACGTTAAATAAGGCTATAAAAGAATTAAGGAGGAAACAAAGAAAGTTGTTCAGAAAACTAGCGTTTCCTTTGCTAAGTCAGTTTGGCAATAATATGGAGCAAAATCAAAGCATCCTAGCCAAAATAAATGTGCACAATGGAGCACTCAGATATGAGGTAATACTGTGACATGCCTGTGGGTGTCAGACATTCTTATAAAAACCATACCGCTAAAATTTGGTCCTGCACCATTAAGCCACAGCTCTGCCAAGTAACAACAGGAACACACRTTTTAAATCATTACTACAAGCCAAATGTAATTCTCACCAAAGACAATTAAATTTTTTACCAGAGGTCTGGGCAACTTAAACCCCAAGAATCACTTAAGTAGCATAGAATTTGAATTTCATTTCCCTTTGAAAATGAGACTGATATTGTTCAGATCAGGAGGGAATGTCAGTTGAAAATACATGGCAAAAATTTAGCTAGAAAATCTGAGTGTTTTTTGAAAACATTTTAGAACATTTTATAATGATCACTTTTTACTGATATAAAATAATTTATGCTCACTCTGAAAGAACTTAGAAAATTTGCAAAAATGCATTGAATAAAATATTTTCTTACAGTCTCATTAGGATAAAGCTTTCTAAGATTTTAATGTATTTCCCTTTAGTCTTACACACACACACACACACACACACGGAAAGAAAGAGAGCGAGAGGGAGAGCGAGAGAGAGAGAGAGAGAGAGAGAGAGGGAGAGAGAGAAATATCTGAGAGTATGTGTAAAATTTGTATCATTACATATCTTAATTTAATACTACTTTTACTCTTTCTTATTTCCTTAAATATTCTTTAAATACAAAATATTTAATGGCTATATAGTATTCCTTTTATCTGGCTATACCATAATTTGTTGTTCTTCATGCCTCAGATTATTTTTTAGATAAAATCTTAGAAGTAGAATTACAAGGTCCAAGGACAGGAAGATTTTAAGTCTATTGATACATGTCACCACCTATTTTGCAGAAAGGCTTAACCTGTGCTGCTTTTTCTCACCTGCAATTTGCTAGCAGCAAGCAATATCTTTGATTAGAGTAGGTGTAAGTAATGTCCTTTATGGTTTGTTATTTCTAAATATCAAGCTGCTTATTAAATATCATCAGTTAGTGCCTGATGTAGTTCCTGTGGCACCGAGGATCCAGTAGTAAACAAAAGAAACCAAATCCTTTCCACAGTGATCATATATTTTACTAGAGGAAATTCAATAAATAGTAAAAGTTAGGAAGAAGATGGGCAATGTGGGTGGGTTAAAGAATGTTTTACACATATTATTGGGTGGTTGGAAAATTCCACCTTTGAAAATAGGAGGTTGGAAGTTTTCCACCTTTGAAGACGTTTACTGGTTTCGTTTAAGAGGTCAAATTAGAAAGTAAGTTAGAAACTATTGGGCTGTGAAATTCAAATTAAATATTTGGAAAACTCTGGAATTCTTGATCATGGAAAATTTTAAATATATGTTTTAATTAATTTAATAAATTCTTACTCTTTTGGGTTTTTAAAAACAATTTATCCTGCTTTAATTCATCTGCTAAAAACAACAAGCAACAAGCAGAACCTGACATTTATACCTCTGTTTATTTGCTTATCTATGAAACTGAAGTTTCAAATTAAAAAAAAAAAAAAGAGGCTTGGTATGTAGAGTGTGAGGGATGACAAGGGAAAGGAAGTAAGCAAAGAAAAATAGAGAAATAATTAGAAACCCAGTTCAGAGCCAAGGTCAGTTCCTGGTTGCAGGGAAACCTGCCAGTCAGAGTGCTTTGCTGAGCATGGTCCTCTGAGCATCCTTCCCGGGGCCATCTGGGGGAGGACTCTGTGGTACCATTCATATTACTAGACTAGGATTTAAATTCATCTCTTTCAGGATTAGGTTTTCCCGAGAGAAATAAAAACGCCCTCCATCAGTGTTTTGGCAAAAAAGCAACTTCATTAAGCTTCCCTTCATTCTCTGCAATTTTATTATTCTTCAAAGACTCTCTCTCTCTCTCTCTCTCTCTCTCTCTCTCTCTCTTCTTCTCATGACTGGAATCTCTAGTCTCCTATCTTAATTTTGGCTTGATTGAGGAGGTCTTTAAAGCTAAGCAAAGTGATCCAAAGAGATGTAGAGGTTTTCAAATTTTTGTCTTTTCACAGATTATTTTATGGAAAATCTAGGTGTTTATCATATGTAAAASTTTTAAAACCACTTCTTTTCTGAGAAGAAAAAATACAGTCTTTTTGTAGTATAGTAATTACATTTGAGTTTATAGCTAGGTAAATAAATGCTTTTGGGGGGGAGGATTCTAATGTCCCAAGTATTAAATATAATAAGGAAATATTTGGTAGGGAAAACAGAGCAAATAGCCAAATAAAGTACTTTGGAAAATAAAAAGTAAAATGGGTCTGACATTTTATGCATTTTAAAGAATATAAAAAATAACCACGATACTGTTAGGTACCAGTAGGAGTTCAATGATAATAATACAATACAATTTCTTAAATTGACAGTGGACTATGTACTTAGAAATCTTGACCAAATTTCCTCAAAGATATCTCACCGCCAAAAAATAAATATTTGTTAAACAAACACCATGAGACACATATATTTTCTACTTTGAGTTTGAAAGTCTTCATCATGGAAATTATTTCGGCTATGTGGTTCCACAAAAATTGTTGAGTCCATCTGTTTAGATTGATTATCATTTTGACCATCAAATAGTTATTCTTCTTTTTTCAATTTTTTTTTTTACAGCAATATGAAAATTGGAGACCCAACCAGCCAGATAGCTTCTTTTCTGCTGGAGAAGACTGTGTTGTGATCATTTGGCATGAGAATGGTCAATGGAATGATGTTCCCTGCAATTACCATCTCACTTATACCTGCAAGAAAGGAACAGGTAACAATTACCCCGTTAATATTCTGTAATCTGCATTTCAGTGATCAACAGAAATCAGGAAGAATACAAACTGGATATGTGTTGTCACTTCTTATTGCACTAGAAGAGTCAGTGACCTCTTTCAAAAAAGTTAAAGTTTGTTTTCAGTACTGTTCTCACCTCAGATTTCACTTGCTTAACATACCAGTGTGGATTTATATAGAAAAATTTCCAGGTAGTATCTTTAAGAAGTACACCTGCTAGCCCAAGGACTTAAGATCTCGTTATTTTAATGAAGAGAAAATATTTTTTTAAAAAGTGGTCAAGAGTTAAAAATTTGAAAATATTATAAAATATTCTGGATTTTTGGCACTCATAAAATAAGAAGATGTGGTATTAATATCTCATGTTCAAGTTTGTCAGTAGAGGGAGGTAGAGGGAGCTGAGAGCCACCACCCTCCCTTGGTAAGAGCTTGGTCTCCAGCTCATTGCAGTCTTCATTCAGTCTTTTCCTTATTTTTCTAATTGTTTGATCTCTGTAGGCATTATAGTTTTTAAATCATTCCCTTAGAATATTTATCTTATGCTTATAAACCATGAAACAAAAAAATGCCATCCTTGCCTCTTTAATTAAATACTTTGAAGATGAGACAAMATAAAGATATTTATAATGAAAGATYCATACTAAGAATTGCTTGGTTAACATTAAACAGAAAAAAAAATTTATCAAGAAAGCTAATTTGTAAACATGTGTTTATTACTGGTTGATATGTTTGAATTTCTAAAGTATGCTATATAGTCCTCTTCCCTAAACACATTGAAATTTCATAAAAATTTTAAATACTATTTTTTGTGATAGTATTAAAATATGATTATCTGGTCCAGAGGCTAAGATTTTTACCTACCTCTGGTAAGGGTAAATGGTTCAAATGCAAAATGTGAAACCCATTTGATTCATCTTCAAATATAAAAATAATAAAATTGAAAATACACATTGTATAAATATTTTAAGCAAGACTTAAAAACACCAATCTTAGACTCTAGTAGAAGAGAAGAAAGATACTTGGCTTTAACAGTGGCTGTTCTGCTGCTCAGTCTCAATATCCTGGCTCCATAAGAAGCTTTTCTGACCTGCCTCCTACTCCAGCACTTCTGTGGTGGAACTTGTACAAACAGCAAAGCAAGTATTTGCTGTTTTATTTTTTCCTGTGTAAGAAGTTTCTACTAAACAATTTGTCTCTATCCATATGTCATGTTTGCCTTCTTAGGTCTTCCAGTAGCCCCTGGAGTCATGCTTTCTATTTATGGCCTGAACATCCTTGTATTTCCTATAGCAGGGCTTCTCAACAGCAGTTCATCTGAATTTGAGCCAGATCGTTCTTAATGGTGGGAGGCTGTGCGGTATGTTGGAAAATGGTTAACATCATTCCTGCCTTCCATATTCTGAATGCCAGAGACACCCTCTACACTTCACATCTCCTCTGTATAGTGGCAGCCAAAAATGTCTCTAGACATTGCCAAGTGTTTCTGGGAAGGGGGAGAGTGTTGAGGGAGAGGGCAAAAATGGCTGGAGAACTCCTGCCCTCCAGCCAAAAAAGGCACACACACAAAATGATGTTTTTACTCTTTACATTTTCCAGTGGGAAATGAGTTTGATAAAGTGATGGCTCTATTTTATTGAAGGAAGAAACACTTATTATTTTATCTCCCCACTGTCTGATTTTTATTTACATACAATTGTGTTTTTTTCCTAATCAATGCCCAGAGGAGTTTTATAAATGTTTATAGACTTTTGTAAAACAGTCTTTTCTCCTTTCAGGTACTTTAAATGCCTTTAAGTCTAAGTCAACCTTAGTAGTTATAATTTTAATTAATTCTTAAATATGTGTAAAGAGGGTTATAATATGTAAGAAAGACATTTTTTTTCAAAGAAGAATGCTTCATGCACACCATGCAAGCATCTTTGGAGTACCTTTGGTGTCCTTCTAATTCCATTCATTTACTCTCCAATTCCCCCTCCTGAGACAGTGAATCAATTCCTTGGCACATGCTTGTATCCCTAAACGACAAATTGTTTATAGTTTTGTCAATGTTTGAACTTTATATAAGCAAAATCCTACTGTGTATTTTCTCTACCTTGCCTTTCTCATTGTGCAGCATTGTGTTTGTGAAGCTTATCTATGTTGATGCATGTAACTGATATTTCCTTTGTTTGTGCTGCTGTGGACCATTTCATTATGTCCATGTATTTTATTCATCAGTTCTCCCATCAGTGGACATTTGGGTTATAGTTGGTGTTTATGGTAACATCATAGCAATGTTTCTATGAACATCTGTAAACTTGTTCTTGGTAGATTTTTGTTAAGTTTCTATCAGGTATATTTCCAGAAGTGAAGTTGCTGACTCATAGGATACATGTTATCATCAAATTTACTAGAAAATACCAAATTATTTACCAAAGGAGTTGTGCCAATTCACACTCCCAGCAGCTCTGTGTAAGAGGTCTTGTCACTCCATATCTTCGCCAACATTTGGTATTATTGGACTTGGAAATTTTTGCCAATATGGTGGGTATAAAACAATACCTCTGTGATTTAATTTAACATTTCTTCAATACTTCTCCCTGGATATCTTTTCAAAAACTTGTAGGTTATATATCGCTCGCTCTTATTTGGTAAAGTTTCTGTTTGTGTCTTTTGCTTAGTTTTTATATTTTTGCTGATCTTCTACATATTAATTTGTAGTTATTTTTAAAGTCTTATCACTAATAACTGACAATTATATATAYTACAAACTTCTCCCAGTTTGTAACTTGTCTTTGACCTTATTTTATGGCTTCTTTTCTTTTTTTGGAAGTAGGGATTGAACCCAGGGATGCTCCACCACTGAACTACATCCCCAGCCTTTTTAGTTTTTATTTTGAGACAGGGTCTCATTAAGTTGCTTAGGGATTTGCTAAATTGCTGAGGTTGGCCTTGAACTTGTGATCCTCCTGCCTCAGCCTCCAGAATTGCTGGGATTATGGGTATATACCACTGTAACTGTCTCTTAGGGCATTTTTTGATGGACAGAATTCTTAATTTTGTCAAATACTCCTTTATGGTTTAAAGCTTTTTGTGTCTAAAAGAATCTATACCTACCCTAAAGTCATAAAGATATTCTAATATTATTTTTGAAATATTTTATAGTTTTATCTTTTATATTTATATACTTAAACCACCTGGAATTGATTTTTTTCATATATTCTCTGAGGTAAGGGACTAAATATATTTTTCCATATGAATTCCAACTGCCCAAGTTTTAAAACTACCCTTTCCCCTTCTCTACACTGTTGTTTCTATAAAATATCAAGACATCTGTGTGTGGATCTATTTCTAGTCTGTATTCCTGTCCTTGCCAATATCATACTTGCTGAATTATTTTAGCTTTTTAAATAATCTTCACATAGTAATAGTTTTAGAAGAAATCATTCAATTCTTTTCTTCCAATAATAAAAAAACTTCTAATTCACCAGCATAGCACAGAATCACATATAATGAATGATCTGATTGATCATTTTAATCTTRGACCACTTGGATCTCATTCTCTCTGATGCTTGCTAGTATCTGAAGTCTCATATGGGCTTTTCACATTAAAACAGAAGCAGTACACAGGTATCCAGATTGGAATCAAGCAAAACTAAATTAGAGAAACTAAACATTTACTTCAAACCCAAATTTGTCATTGCAAATTTAGACAGCCTTCTGAATATGCAAATAAGTCTAATAATTATAAACTTTTAATATAAGGTAATAAGGTTCTTGGTAGCCACACTCTCACTGAAGATTTGCATTATTCCTGAGACAAGTGAAATATTCTTATGGATCTGTGGTGTCAGAATTCCTCAACTATGGATAAGAAATGCCAGTTAAGGAGAATTATATTTAAGCTGTTACATTTCTATTAAAGAAATAATGCAGCAAAACAATAAATTTGTAGCAATTTTAAAAGTATCATTTAAATAAATATGCTAATATGGAATAGATATATAGGTTAATACAAATTTAATTGGATCATTTTTTCCATTTCTTGAATTTTGAAATAGGAATTTTTATTTCTACTTTTTGAATTATTTCTATTTATGGCTAAGTTTTTTTGATGATTAGAATTTTTCATTTTAATTTAAAATGATAAATAAGTATTTCTAGCTTTGCCCTTATTGACTCTTCTCGAGAGTTTAAAATTATATTTGTAATTATAAAACTGAGGCATGATTACTACTTGTAATTTCAACCTGTTTCAAAACAGAATAGAAAAGAGCAAACAAACGTAAGTGGAGTGTATTCCCCATTTTAAAACTATAGTGTTATTATACATTGTACATTTTCTCAGGAAGTGATAATAAATAGCTAATTGTTATGAAGTTATTATTATCCCAAGCAAGGGTGGGTAATAAATAAAAATTGTGGGATGGTGTTGAGGACAGGTGCTTTGTAATTTGGAATTTTTCAGAAAAGTGGCCATGCCAAATGAATGTATGATTACTTAGTTTTATGGTTCTTTAATAAAATGTGATTCAAGTTAACTTAATCTGAGATTCAAACTAGGCCCAGAGACTCAAATTAATTTTTATCTTGAACAATTTTTAATTTTGATTCTAGATGATTGCCTTTTATGAAGGTGTCTGGTTTGGTGCTATAAGAGAAAGAGGAAAAGAAAGAGAGAGTGAGTGTGAGATCCACACTCATTGAAATACTTAGATTATTTGGAAATAACCAAATTTACTTTTCCTTAGTTGCTTGCGGCCAGCCCCCTGTTGTAGAAAATGCCAAGACTTTTGGAAAGATGAAACCTCGTTATGAAATCAACTCCTTGATTAGATATCACTGCAAAGATGGTTTCATTCAACGCCACCTTCCAACCATCCGATGCCTAGGAAATGGAAAATGGGCTATGCCTAAAATTACCTGCATGAACCGTAAGTGGTCCTTTAGAAAGAATGGACAACCGTGCTATAACCACTTCTAGATCCTCATTTTTCGGCTGTGGTATGGATAGTTTAGGGTATGGAGCAAGTAATATTGTTGTGTTTTCTTTCTTTCTTTCTTTTCTTCCATGTAGCATCTGCATACCAAAGGACTTATTCTAAGAAATATTTTAAAAATTCCTCATCAGCAAAGGACAATTCAGTAAATACATCAAAACATGATCATCGTTGGAGCCGGAGGTGGCAGGAGTCCAGGCGCTGATCCCTAAAATGGCGAATATGTGTTTTCATCATTTCAGCCAAAGTCCTAACTTCCTGTGCCTTTCCTATCACCTCGAGAAGTATTATCAGTTGGTTTGGATTTTTGGACCACATTCCAGTCATTTGGGGTTGCTGTGCTCCCAAAACATTTTAAGTGAAAGTATTGGCATTTAAAAAGAAAGCAAACACAATGAAAGTAAATGAGGGCAGAAAGTGAGCGTTTCCAGCCTATCCGATTTCTTTAGTTTTCTATTTGTCTCGGTGCAGACCATTTCATCACGTCCACCAGCCTACTGTACTATTTAAAACACTCAATTTTAGCACCAGTGGCCATGTAAATAAGATGATTTAATGTTGATTTTAATCCTGTATATAAAATAAAAAAAAAATCACACTGAGTTCTGGCATATTTAATGATGATTATGGAGACTTTACAGGTCTTTAATCATTGGTTTGGCTGCTTATATGTAGTTTGTTTAGGCTGGAAATGGTTTCACTTGCTCTTTGACTGACAGCAAGACTGAGGATAGCTTTTCCTGGGCAACTAGCAAACAAAACCTTGGACCGCACTGCACCCATCTCACTCAGAGGTGCCGTTTGCCTCCGAGTGATGCTAAAACCTGGCTAACGGGATCCTGATGGAACTAAGGACTCCACTGTGGACCTCTTCTTTGCTGCATCCCTTTTCCTTCACTCACAAGAAAGGCCTGAACAGAGGACTTTTCTATGACCAGGAGCATTTTTTTTTTTTAGGGGTCAAAGTGCTAATTATTAACTCAACCAGGTCTACTTTTTAATGGCTTTCATAACACTAACTCTGGTAAGGTTACAGATTCAAGGCATTTCACATGGATAGAGACTGAGGGCTCTGGAGGGTGGGGGATTGTTAAAACCACACACATGCAGAAAAAAAAGAGAAATTTTGTATATATAACCATTTTAATCTTTTATAAAGTTTTGAATGTTCATGTATGAATGCTGCAGCTGTGAAGCATACATAAATAAATGAAGTAAGCCATACTGATTTAATTTATTCGATGTTATTTTCCCCAAGACCTGAAAATTGGTGTAGTATGCTAGTTACTTTTCAGTGTTAGCCTTTATACTTTGCTCACACAGTTTGGAACATATAATAGAGGTACTTTGTCCCTGATTAAATAATGTGATGGATAGAATGCATCGAGTGTTTACTATGAAAAGAGTGGAAAAGTGTATGGCTTTCAGCAAGTGGTGTTTGCCCATGTCCTGAGTGTTTTTGTAGAGATAGTGTGGGCATTTCTTCCCATCAGGTGGAGTGTATATGTGGAAATTTCTCCTGTCTCTTCCCACTCCATTTTCTCCTTCCTATTTGAATAAAGTGACTGCTGAAGATGACTTTGAATCCTTATCCACTTAATTTAATGTGTGAAGAAAAACTGTAATGGGAAGAAGGCATTTACAACTCTTTCCCTAATTTCAGTTACAGCAACATTAAGAAGGGTAGACGACAAATAAAATGCAAATAGGAATGACACATGTCTGAGGAGATAGGCATGTGTAACCTGATTTAAATATTACACAATGTATACAGGAATTGAATGATCACATGATATCCCATAAGTATGTRACCCTTTAATGTTTTTATGTATCAGTATAAAAAATTTAATTTAAATTTTTAAAAAAGGGAAAGAAAACTTAGAATAACAGCAGATGGGAGTTAACCCAACATTGATTGTTTTTCATCAAAACTCTTTGGCTTAGAAAGAATGACTATAGCTCACAATCATACAAGGTGTCTTTAAGCAAGTTCCCTTGGTTCCTGCATTAAATGTAACCCACCCTTAGATGTTCTAGAGCACAGAAAAACATGGTGTTGACCTATTAGGTTTTTGTTTTTTTCTTTTTTCATTACAATGCACATAATACTTTCTTGTATTTATATTATAACGTGTATAGTGTAAAATGTGAATGACTTTTTTGTGAATGAAAATCTAAAATCTTTGTAACTTTTTATATCTGCTTTTGTTTCACCAAAGAAACCTAAAATCCTTCTTTTACTATACTGTGACTTGTCTGGTTATTTATAACTTTAAATCCCGATGTGCACCAACATTTTTATATTATGGTTCCATCATAGAGAAGCAGCTTCTGACTTGGATGAAATGGTTTATGTCTATAAAATGATGATTATATGTGTACTTGCAAAAATTCAGTAATTCTGGTAGTGTTTTTATATACATACTATGCATTAATCTCAAACACAAAAGAAATATGCAATAGGAAAAGTAAAGCTCACATTAGAGACTGCTTCCTATGAACCAGGCCAGGTGTTTTGCATACATTATCTCACAAAAGGTAGATAAAAGGCATGCTGTTACTGTTTGATGAGGGATCTAGCAGAGTGATATCAAATTATGTGTCTAAAAGTACCTAGTTAGTGTGTAGTGGAAGCAGATATTCTCTACAGCCTGCATGCCATTCCCAAGAAAAACGTAAAACATTATGTTCCTTATTTTTATATATTTAGGAGCTCAATTTACTGGATAAATGCTCATGTCTAAATCATTATCAGATGTCAAAGACATCAAGTTCTAATCTATTCAGTTATCCATCTAGTCCTTCATTTTTTATTTGTTCACTATTTCCTAAATCTTTAGTGTGTGCCAGGCACTGTGCTATGCCCAGAGGATTCATCAGTGAATGAGCTAGACATGTCTCTACCCACATAAAGTTTTTTATACTGGATAACATTCTATGGGAAGTATATGACAGCCCATTTTTTTATACAGCATCTATATTAACAATCTGAAAGAATTCATTATATATCATGATGTTGTATAGGAGCTATCAGAAAGCACAAATGTGGGTTGAAAATTATTTTGAGGTTTCTTTTTTTGGAATATCAAAACTACTCAGGGAGTCAAACATGAATAGACATAGAAGACATTCTCTTCATTTTTGAGCTGTTCTTTCTGTGCATATCCCATCATTTCTTTTACACAGAAGTTGAATATAAATGACCCATGGAAGTATGCAGTCATTTGCATCATGCAAATATGCCTTTATTAAATTTGGAATCCTCTTACTTTTTGATGTATTTAGGTACAAATAGTGGAATMTGTGGGATGTTGGGAACACTGGGACAGAGTGAGAAGTTTAAGGAGACTTGTATTATTCAAAGTCAGCAAGAGGTGGTCTTTTGTAAAGAAGTGGACATTTTTAAAGACTGTCACATCAGGAAGAAGTATGTGCCTCTGTCATGGGGGGCTATTAAGAGAGGTGGGCTTTCCATCTGGAAATAGAAGAGAGTTAAGAGAGATTTTATAGGGAGAAATGTCATTTTATTGTGTTAGTAACTAGACCATTGCTGATCAGAAGTGAATTTTCAATATATTGTAGGGAGCAGGAATTAGATTAGCCATGAGCCAATTGCCTAGAAATCATTTATCATCTACAACAAAGTTATCAAGTTTGGAAGTGGATTGAAAAAATGCAAATAAGTTGTAAAAATGGTTCAGAGTTGATTTTGTGCATGATCTATGCAGGACTATTCCCCAAGACAAGAATCTGAGACAAAATATGTCCTAGGTAACAAATGTTATCAAGTAATTGAAGATTCAAGGATATCCATTTTTATGTGCTTCTTTTTATTCTGCCTAATATTAGAGGTGCAGAGAAACAGTTTTTGAAGAGCAATGTCCACAATGATGTGTTAGCTTTCATATTGGTGCATCTTTTTGTTTTCTGCGCTGCAACTCATATTTGCTAAACAAATCAGAATAATTTACCCGAATGATGCTTTCTAAAACAAGTCTAAACAGAAAGTTTATAAAGGTCTTTGAATGAGTCATTCAAGACTGTATAATCTTTTCCTACCATTACTCATTTCTATGTGTTTGGATCCCAGCTGGACAAGAAAGAGCAAATGCCAAAATAGAACAAGAAAGGTTTTTGTTAAGGTGTTTACAGAATAAGCAAAGTCTGAGTTTTAATTGAAATTTAATTCAGAATTTAGTCTGAGTCCATCAAATGATCCCTGCCAAACCTTATAAAAGTTCACCTCCTTAGGCAGTTACTTTTAAATTATTTTTGATAGTGTTTATATCAAAATAAAAATTTAAAACTATGTATGTACCCCCTCAAATTTTAAATTATCAACAAAATTTGGATTTCATCAAGAAGTTAAATGATTGTAAAAAAAATATGTCATTTTTGGCATGTTTCAAATGTTACCATTCTAAAATATACACATACATCATTCTTTTAAAGGTATTCAATGGAATTTAGATATCACAGTGATTTCTTTCTTTTTCTGTTTTTGGTAGGCAGGGGTACTGGAGATTGAACTCAGGGTACTAGACCACTGAGCCACATCCCCAGCCCTATTTTGTATTTTATTTAGAGACAGGGTCTCACTGAGTTGCTTAGTGCCTTGCTGTTGCTGAGGCTGGCTTTGAACTCGTGATCCTCCTGCCAGGTTCCTGAACTGCAGGGATTACAGGCGTGTACCATCATGCTGGGTAAGATATCACAGTAATTTAATATGTACATACCACTATTCTTTTAAGAAAAACTTGAAGATTTTTAGGTAGTCAGAAATTTTACATATTTTTTTTAAATCTTCTTTGGACTCAGTGTTTTCATTAGACCCTCCCCATGGAATTTTTCTAAATATTAAACATTTACATGTTTGAAAGTGTTCCAGATATATATGCATCAAAATTTGTACTTAAAATTTGAAAGTTAAGTTTTTCTTATGAACCTAAAGCTATAAAAGTTAGCAATTTCCTGGGCTGAGCTATCATTATAATTTATTGATGTATAATTTATTGATCAAAATAATATAAAACATTATAAAATTTGAAAGATAATTATATAAATTTAAAAAATGTATTAGGAACACATCTTAGTGAGATATAACTCGAGATGTTTTTTCCCAATTCACTTTTCCATGGATAAACATAACTTACAATTAGATTGTAGCATGGTTTAGCAGCTTCTATTCCTACTCTGTTTTTATAGACTTAAACACCGGGATTTTTTTTTCCACATAAATAACTAGATGGAAATGGTAGTTTTATTACACAGTGCTACCCAATTTTTTATGCTCTTAAAGACTTATTGGCAAAAGTTGTATGGTGGGCTCAATGTGGTGGCATATGCCTGTAATCCCAGCAGCTCGGGAAGCTGAGGCAGAAGGATTGCAGGTTCAAAGCCAGCCTTAGCAACTCAGTATGATCCTAAGTGATGCAATGAGACCCTGTCTCTAAATAAAATGCAAAAAATAGGGCTGGGGATGTGGTTCAGTGGTTGAGTGGCCCAGAGTTTAATCCCTGGTATCCTAAAAAAAAAAAAAAAAAAAAAAAAGTGGTGTATGGTGTTCTATCAAAAGTTATTTTCCATTGCCTTTCAGCTATGGCACAATGAAGTTCTGATTTTTTTCAGAAACATTTGACTTGAAAAAAATTTCTTGCAGTTATAAAAAATCATTCATTGGCTTTGTTCAGAGATTTACATTCCATGGTAACACAACATAAGACTTGAAATTGATGAGTGGTGTGTTTCATAAGGTGGTTGGTTTTAAGTTATTATATATTTATTTAATGAAATAGCAAAAGGACAGTTATTTGGTCTCTGGTTTTCAAAGTTTGTTTCCTGAAACAACAACATAGTATCTAGGAATTTGTAAGAAGAGCAAATCTTCAGACCCTACCCCACTGAACTGGAGATTTTGGGAAAGGCRACAGCAATCTGGGCTTTTGCAAAGCATTCCAGATGATTCTGACACATTCTAGAATTTGTTAGAATTAATGTAAAGAGAGATACAAAAGTGGAATTGCAGCCTCCACTACAAACATCATTTTTGGAAGATGAGTGTTAGGAAAGATKCCATATGGATGGTAAAACTTTGGAAATTGCTTTCCTTGGTATGCCTGTGAATTCCTTSGAGTATGTTGGCATACTTCCAATGTAGGCAGCCTAGGTTTGGAGACCAGTACACTGCACAGTTTTATCAGGCTTCTAGTGCAGCGAGGGTCTGCATTTGTGAGCATGTGTTGTATCTGTCAGGTGGTTGTTACTTTCTAGCTTATGAATGGGTCTCTGGTTTTAYAAAGAAGCAGTGAGAAAGGCTTTTGCTAAAGGGAAAACTGAATAAAATATTGTGATTAAAATATCCATTTCTTAAAGACCTGTAGCAAAGTTTTAAATGCAGGATTTACAATAAATTTAAAAAYTGAGGCCAGGCATGGTGGYGTACATCTGTAATCCCAGTGGTGGCTCAGGAGGCTGAGGCAGGAGGATAGCACTTCAAAGCTGCCTCAGCAAAAGTGAGGCACTAAGCAACTCAGTGAGACCCTGTTGTCACTGACCTAGGAACACTGTGCTGTAAACTGAGATTTTCTTAAGCTGCTCACCTGTGTAAATAGCCCCTTTGTTCAACTCTCTTTGATTTGTCCAATCTGATGGCTCATCTATTTCCCATTGGATTTTTAAGGATCCTCTTACGTATTTCTTCAGGGAAATTATGGAAGTAACCCAGTTCATATCAATCAGAGGATGCTACATGACATTCTGGAAGTCTCTATATTAGTACCTTTGGGCTTCTTCCATAGCATTTCATCACATGTTTGTATAAGGTTTTGTCTTTAGTTCTGTCTTTTTAATCACTAAACATTAACCATGTGATTGTCGCAACTACCAGTCATTTTTTTCTTTTTTTTTGCCTCTGCTCTCCATAAACATGGCCACACTRTTGACTGGTTGGTCCTATTTTAGTTTAAAAAATAAAACATGATACTTCAGATCACAATCAAGTTCTGTTTTCAATGCTTTTATAATTGGGAGTCAAGAAAAGAGTAGGAAAGTTATGTACATGCACAACAAGTTTCTCTGAGACTAAACCCCAGTATGTTTGAAACCTTAAAGCTTATCCATGAACAGAGTAGGGCAAGAAGGGAAAGGAGATTGCCATTTTAAACATGCAAGCAGATTTTATTTCTCTGGATAGAGGT